CTTTCTAAACTAGTAGATAATAATATGCGTGAAGTTCTAACTATTAAGTTCTGATTTAGGTACAAATATTGACTGAGCCGTGATACACCCTATCACGGCTCAGTCAATATTTGTATATTTTACACATAAAATATATTAATAATCCTGGAGAATACACACAGCGCCATTTAGTGCCAAACAAAGTAGAGCTAGTTCTAAAAGTACTAAACAACAGTAAGAAATACTTTCTTTTGTAAATACATACATAATATACAGACCAATACAAATAGTGATACTCAAGTATACAAATATAATATTTATGTCCACGCAAGGAGTCGAACCCGCAATGATCGCGAGTAAGGCGATGTGTTAAACGACTAGACCACCGAGGTCATCAAATAAACACAAAGACGGCGATTGCCTCCTCTTGAAATACTTATATAAGTTGTTATTTTTTGGAGTTGCCTACTAAGCACCTAATTATTTAGGAATTACTCGCTAAGTATCTATGTTATTAAAATGTTTTTAGAAGGGTTTTTTTTCCATTTCAATGTTTACACGGTTTCGTATCTGACATATCGGTTTAGGCGATGGTATCAGTCAGTACTGACGACAGGAGAATTATGGAAATAGACACTAAAATATTAATAATATTAAGTGGTCTATTAAATTCTATTAAAGTAATCTAGGTGTGGTTGTTATGACACAAATAAGTTTTTTCATTAAAATAAGTTATACAAGTATCATTACGATTGTCGTTTTACATGATAAGGATTTATAACAAAATAAATTAAAGTCTTTATTATATAATTTAACAAATGTACAATCACTGGATAAATTAATAGAGTATGGGTAATTACAACATGAGCGGTTCATAATAATATGAAATAAGTATGGGAGTAATATGGGTATATTAGTCCATAATTACTTCGTTTCTAATGTATATAATTACATATTAGGTAAATCATCATGAAACATAATGTATTTGTTGTAGAATTACGACAAATACATTTAATTCATAAGAAAGTAAAAAGGTATATGTAAGTTTTTAATATTTCATTATTATTCATAAATAATAGAACTATGCGTCTATCTACGAAATTATAGTTTGATCAGTATTCGATATTTGAATATTTGCCTGGAATCATTTTACCAACTGCTCTTATAGTTTGAAAATGTAATACGACTATCAATATGATCATTTTGAACATTCGAGATGATTCTAGAAACTAAATTTAATAATTAATACCAACAATCCGCATCAGCGTTTACTAAGCCACGCGATATAAGTACGTAGGTACTAAAAGAACAATAGATAGAGAAATGGAAACGGAATGTATAATCAAATCAACTTGCTTTCGTCTCGCGTGTATCATCATCAGAAACTACATTCCAAAATGGACCTTCAATCTACGTGCATAAAGTTATAAGATACGTAAATGTATTTTGGTTCAAACATCTCCAGAACAATGGGTTGCTCCGGTTGCGTGAACACAATGTTAATGCTAATATGAAGGGTGTGAGGTTCTGTCGGTCTAACTATGAGGTTTGTAGTAGGCTTGAACCTATTTAAGTCGCTAGGGTTGTGATTAAACGAGATTTGTTGAGTTCAGTTGCTCTGTAGAATTTGTATATCGGAATTAATTAGATTAGGCTGTATTATCTGCTGATATGTACTCGTTAGAAATACAACTCGAATATTTCGAACTGTCTTTTGTCATGAACAGTGCTTGAACTGTATACTAACTTTTTTTATAGATTATGGTGGTTTGTTATTCTCACCTACTACTAATAGATATACCTACTACTGCAGGTGGATGTACCATTCTATTATTACTGGCAGGGCACTAGAAAATAACAGGAAAGCATTGAATTTAGTCCATTGTGGCTAATGTACTAGAAATTAATCAGTAAAGGACGAACTTAATGACACGGAGTTCAACTTGATATGGTACATATTTTTAATCGATGCTAATGATAGGGTGCCTGTGTTAACGGTAATTGTTTGCGAGATACAATCACATGATAATAAGGAGCATGAAATCAGGAAAGTTCGCCCATGGTCGTGAATTCAGCAGGAATTAACGAATTCTAGCGACAAATACGTGAAGGTGGATTACTACCCCCATTTTTTATAATGGATGATAATGGAATGCTGCACCCGCCTGCGATAACGGTATACGCGGTACGATATGAGTATGGTACGTGTACACCCATGCGAAGCTGGGGCGCGGACAATAAATCGATCTACCGCACTACCTTCATTCACTACATTTCAAAAATTATCGGCATATTATTCCATAAGATTTTTATTCGGACTACTCTAATGCTGTTGCCTTTACAGCTTCACCGGACGATAGGGAGCGAGTGCAGATGGCACTCCAAACCCGTGGAAGGACTTATGGAGCGGCCGAAGGCCAACTCCTGCCTGATGGGTACAACTTTAGTCTAACAGCATCGCTACGGGTTAGAACCTGGGCTCAGGCCGTCATAATTTCGATCCCCGTTTGAATAAACTATATATGAATGAACTATATTTAATAAAATGACGGGATATACAAAAATATAATCCGGAATGGGATGCAATTACGTAACAAACAAATACATATAAAAATTTACAATAAAATTATTATCAAAACAAACAGCAGGAAACTGACTATTTGCATATAGATAATAATATCTATAATCAATTATTAACACAACAGTACTAACAACTTCTATTTAGTTCCATTTGAAATTGAATATTGTTTCTATCATATCACATAACACACACATGCATATATATAAAACCACAAACGCGTATTCATATATGATGATGTGTTTTGAGCGTGAATGCGATTATCTATTGAACTGTGTTGTCCTTTTATTTCGACCTAGTTCCCTCATCATAAAGGTCATATTTAAATGCTCAAAGTGGATTTAGAGTTTTAGTTTTTATGAACACATTCAGACACACACAAAACTAAAATAGAGATTTTCTTAATGGATGATTATGGAATGGTGAACCAGCCTGCGCTAACAGTTTACGCTGGCGGGGCACCAGTGGAGGATGATAGGATGAGCATGAGGTCAGGTCAGTTGGCCCATTGTGACTAATTCACTAGGAATTTATTACGATGATTTCCAGGAAGAACCGCGTGGAGGTTAACCTGAATAATACATTGCTAGCGATGGAGTAATTAGTTCACATTGCTAACAATCCCTTTCCCCTTCAATTTTCCTTTAAATATTCCTTTGAATATAATTTATTTAGTATATCTATGAAACTAATTAGCAAGCCAAAATATTTAGTTTAGGAATTTTAAGCAAACTAAATATAAAATAATTATTAATATTAACATAATATTAATAGACTATATTACATTGTCAGCCCTTTTGTTTTTATATGTCATAATATAAATTTATTCCTAAATAAATATATAATTAAGTCTGATGTAGACTACAAGTGACTATTCAAGTAAGATTAGATATCAGGCGTCATAGGTATGTTGATTGCCACCTTAGAGATATAATAAAGCTAACAAACAAATATACACCAGCTTAAAAAAAATATATAGAGATAGCAAGTATATTCAACAAAATAATTAAGCAATTCATCTCCAATAAATATTCTCCCAACATTATTTTAGCACGTGGAAATATAGAAACTGAAAGTGTAAATTATTTTCTTAAATATCTTCACGCCATTCTCTTCAAGGGTACGTATAGAGATTTTCAAACTAATCGAGAAGGGTTTTAAAGGATGACATTCTAACTGATAACCTCGGTCTAGTGGTTTAGCACTCCGCCTTACTTCTGATGTTCGCGGGTTAGATTCCATGCATGGTACAATCTTTTGCATTCATGAGTATGATTTTTTGTAACAGTGTGGGTATTTTCTATGTATTTGAAGTATGTATTCACAAGTAAAATATACCCATGTATTTATATCAGTTGTCTTTTACCTATAGCATAAGCTCTTGAGATTTGATGGCACTGTGTGTAGTCCTGAGATATTATAGTTATTTAATTGTTTGTTTTCCCTAACCAAAAGGGAAATAGATAAAAGTTTTTTTGCAAATATCAAACCAATTTTAAAATCGCTTTATTATTTTTTGTCTTTATATCCCTTTATAATAGGAAGAAGAAGGATTGTTAGTAATGTGGTCTGATAGCCTCATACCTAGCAATGTATCATGTCAGGTTGACCTCCACGTGGTTCCCCTGGAAACCATCGTGATGGGTTCCTGGTGACTGTGCCCCGATGGGCTGACTGTACCTGACCTCATGTTCATATTATCATCCTCCACAGGTGCCCCGCCAGCGTAAATCGTCAGCCCAAGCGGGAGCAGCATATCATAATTATCCATTAAAAAAAAACTGTTTATATATATTATAATATTACTTAACCAATACGTAATAGTAATTAGTACCCATACTAATTACTCTCTTCCAGAATATTTATTAAATCCGGGATGAAATTTTCCATAAGGGTTGTACCTAATTAAAATTCAGTCGGGTTGTGGATCTGTTTGCGGCATATAAATCAGAGGCGAACAGACAAGGCACGATCAGTCTAGCGCCCCTTTTGCCGTATTCATATTGAGACAGTGTTGGTTGTGGAACAATTTGAATTCATTCTCGCTATGGGGTTACGAATTTATTTTAAGGCTTGGAGCATTTAAATAGAGATCCATACTAATATTATAAATTAGAAAGTATATTCTATATATCTATTTCTTATATTTTCATTTTAACAGTCAACATATTTTTTATACTTCACGTATCAGGGCTACTCACAATAAATGTGACTTCCTCTACATAACTCATGTGAATATCAATGATTACAACTTTTACATCAGGTGAGCTGTTAGCTTGTTTACCATTCCAATTACTATAAAAGACATATGATATCACAAATCGTAAAAACACCACCTCATTTCATATAAACCAAATTTACAGTTGAAGAGATGACTACAGAAAAATGTACAACATAACAACATATTTTATTATTAATATGTGCATCATCATTAACTGCAGTATTAAATACTTTTAGTGCCAAAATATTTCTCGTACATATCACGAAATTCCGTGTATATACCACTAACGTCTTGCTTCGTCGGCTGTTTAGGTGTCTCGTTTCTATGTCCACAGTAGCACACGTGATCCTTCCCACAAAACGCTGGTTTACCAAGCTTCATGCATGTTCTAATACATTTTCTTGCTTCGTCCAAGTTAGGACAGAAGTGCGCTATGTGATGCCGTAATGCCGGTCTAGGTTCGTATTGTATATTGGGTTTAACCTTAGCTGTTTTATAGAATCAGAAAATATTATATTAATATTGTTAAGCTCTGCTTATAGTGGGACTATATGGCGCTCTGTTTATTGTCCAGGGTTATTATTATTATTTAGTGTGTATTATTTTAATAATTAATTACACCTAAATGCATTTATAGTAATAATACAAATATCGGTCTGTATGTTTGTTACCTCAATACGACCTCACAACTAAATGGCAGAAAGGATCATAATTAAATTTATAAAAAAATATCTTTTATCTCAAAAATCAGATGAAAACCCTGGCAACACTTTGGTAGCGGTATCCACTTCATATGTAAATTGTGGTTAGACGAAAATAAAAAAATGGCCAACTAAAGGGCTACTAGCACTCTGAAGTTTTATTATATGACTTTAAATCAAGTATTTAGATAAGTTAAAACTGTAAAATAGAATCGAGAATCTCGGTTTGTTTGCGCTAGATTTTTGTTGATCTATCAAAAACTGTACTAATGATACCTAGACAATATTCCTCTATAAGTAACTCTTTACCTTAATTTAACCTTTTTATTTGAGAACTTTAAAAATATAATACTTAGTAAATAGTATATAAAAAGTATCTCGGCTTACGAGTAATTTCTATGTCTTCATCGGAATCAGAATAATCGGCATCCTTTTGCAGTTCTTTTCTACTAGAATAATTTTTACCTGGAATTTATTGTTATAATTAGAACATACTTTTTGACTTTGTGGGAGAACCAGATATTTCGGTTGAAGGGAATAAGTTATATGGTAGTGAAATTACAGGGTATATAAGGATGACTTCGAAATCATTTTAGTTATGGTGAAAAATATATTATTGATAAATATTGGTGACTATACAAATATGAGCAGTGGACAAAACACTTCTCAAGTATACCATCCTTTACCTTAGAACCGTTTCCGATTTTTTTTTATTCATTGGCCACTCCTACTCTGTTGTTAATATTATCAAATTATTGCAACAATTAAGAAACTTGCCTATGAGAGGACTAATACAGAAACATTTTCCAAAAGCACAGCCGTGGTGACCACCACATTTGATGTAACATATAATCTTGTAAAAAATATTCCCACATGAATCCTTCTTGTCAAGTGTTCTTAGCGCATCACCAAAATAGTAGTCCATTGATATATCGGAAACTGAAAGCAGAATATGACATCCATAACAAAGTAACTGTTATCATCCAGCCAAATTTTTTAAACGTTATCAAGTATTCACGTCACGTTATCACGGTATCAAGTATCACGTTAGTAAGTATGTTCTATCATGTCTCCGTACCCTGTTCGTACATAAATTCATACACTGACTTATCCTTCAATAGTGACACATCTTATGTAAAAAGCTACTTGACGTCTGAAATATAGGCATCTAATTAAATTGGGGCTAAAATAAATAAGTTTATATCAAAAAGGTATTTATTTACCTCTCTCGACGTTTCGAATAAAGGCGATAGAAATTTAAAAAATCCCAAAGTAAAAAGAAAATCTTAAAATTATCAGTGTCAGTGGAATCCAGTAATAAATAAATTTAAACAAAGTACGGTAGCACTAGTCAATATGCACTTCTTCTCTTTCTACGACAAACTAGAGATGGTAGTTGAAAAAACTGCTGATACTTATAGACATTAACATTGCTAGACTGCAGTCACCCCGTGACCACTGCTGGTAAAACCTAGTCAAAACGTAGAGTAAAAACAAAACTTAAAAGTAAGTACGTCCGATTATGTACTTTAATACGTACAGTACTAATGTCATTTTTATTTATTTCATATTATATTTACCTGCATTTGTTACTGTGAAGATAGATATTAAGCTATAAGATATCAATAACTTTAATAAAACCATTACTGAGACTGTTCATTGGGAATATTGTTCAATAAATGAGTTTTTTAATTTCATATTCGTCACAGTTATGATTCTAGTTAATTTACTAGTTAACGTTATCATCCAACTATAACAAATAGGAGATTTTCATAATTGAAGTTATATTAAAACAGTGCTGTGTTTTTTTATATATTTCGCGATATCTTCCGACAATGTCAACCGAGTTTGAGAATCCCTTTCTCACCCACGCCTTATTTGCACCTAATTCCTATGACAAACAAATATTGATCATTTATTTTTGTCAATTAGTATATATACATATAGCATTTAGGCGCATTTATTACTGAAATCAAATTGAAAAGGTAACCATTGAGGTAATTATTATTTCTATATTTGCAAATATTTGTTATCTGTAGAATGACTGATACTTTTGTCAGTATTAATTTTTTGTGAAACAATATTTATTTATAATTCTTAATACCGCATACATATTACATTACATTACATTATTTGCTAATACAACAGATAAGATAATGTTACTGATACATAGGATCAATTTACAATTTTTTCTTGTTAATAGCCGTTAGCAGCCATTTCCCAAGGATTCTCACCCACTAATCTGTTCTCTTAGTTACTTAATGTAAACATAATAAAACGTGATTTCCTTTCCCCATATTAAAAATTAAGTTTCACCAATTTAAGCTGTTACGATTCAACCAAACGGTCTTTGTAATACTCTTTGTACTCATAGATTATACAAAAGCCGAAGACTAAACTGCAATTCCGGAAAAAAATGCTTTGACGTAGACAGAGACAATAATTGGCTATTAGAGAGGTAATTTCGCTGTTAGTACTGCGGACAAGCCTTCTATTGCCTACAGGCAAGTAACAAGGACATTCATTATTTGTTTGTACATACAACAGTGACTACGGAACCACATAAGGTTGCCTTTTAAAGTAGGTCTTCTATACGATAAGTCTTTTTTAGATATTCATTGATATTTGTATTATTGTTTATATTTCAAATCGAATATCCCGTAATTTTAATACAGATAAGAAACCAAGTTAATTCGAGAGACGTAAAAATAAAATTATCTATCGAATAGTTTCTCTTTATAATATTAACTAGCTAGTCACCCCGGCTCCGCACGGGTGTACATGTATTACACATATAAACCTTATTCTTGAATCACTCCTAACAATGGCTAAAAAATAAATGGCTTGCGTAGTATGCGACCAGACAGCCTAAGAGGCTTCATTTTGTACTATGTATACATACAAATTACAGGCAGGTATCGATGCAATATTTCATCTCGATTAATATTATGTAAGAAAGTATTACAGGATAGACAAAGAAGACAACATATCAAGTAAATAATTAGTTTATTATACAACGTTATAATTTGTTTATCTCATTGGATTCAATTAATATGAAAGCGTATCGATATATATACGTGGTCTGGTGTTTTGAGTCATGTCATGTTCACTAAAATGTCCAGACTTGTGGCGGCGTGGTGGGCCGGGTCATTGGGCTCCCTAAAGTATGGTCGAGCGCAGTGAAGGCTGGCTCATCCGTCATACTCGTGAACGGGTGCTGCTTGTAGGGACTGGTCTGCTCTAATCACTATGTTTTTATGTATTCAAATTTTTTTTTCATTGTAAATTGTAAGTAAGAATAAATTATTTAAAAGAGCAGCACAAATTTCTTGCTTGTTCTTCTTGTGATAAGAAAGAATTTCCGAACGAGCGGTAGACAAAAAAAAAATGTTATGACTATTCAAAAGTGCTTAAATTAAGTTTATTTGAATATATGATTTTCTATTCTATTCTATTCTTTCTTTCTATTATCGATGACAAAAATACTGCAAAAATAATAGAAAATACCTGCATGTTGCATTGTAAAATAGACTCAGTATAAATCCGAAGCAACGAAGCAGATAGAAAGAAATAAGGACAAGTAAGACAAGGCAGCTAGGTTTCTGTAAAATACTTGAGATTTTTATTTTGAGGAGTATTCTATTTTGGATTGTTGAGCTACAAATATTGTTACAACTCTATTTCTAATTTATTTCGAGAACTTCAACTTATATGAAACAATATGTAGTGAGATTTTTTATTTTTTTATTTGTTTATTTATTTCGTATATTTGTAATCCATATCATTTGACGGCCTCGGTGGTCTAGCGGTTTAGCACATCGCCTTACTTCCGATGGTCGCGGGTTCGATTCCTCGCACGGCACAAATATTTGTATTCATGAGTATGATTGTTTGTATCGGTCTGGGTGTTTTCTACGTACATATGTTATGTATGTATTTACGAAAAAAAAATGTATCTATGTATTTATATCAGTATCTAGTACCCATAACACAAGCTTTAGCTAGCTTAATTTGGGTCTAGATGGCGCTGTGTATATTGTCCTGAGATTATTATTATTATTATTATCATGTTAACCAATTATTTATAAACCAGGTTAGTAAAATTTGAACATAAAAACAGGTTAGTTCATATATCTTTGACGGTCTCGGCGGTATTGCGCTGAACTCCGCCTTACTTCCACCGGTATAAACATTTGTATTCATGAGTATGATTGGTTGTATTGGTATGGGTGTTTTTTATATTTGTTATTATTATTATATAGAAAAAAGTGTATATAAGTATTTCTATTAGTCGTTTAGAACTAGTACTCATAACACAAGCCCTGCATAACTTGGGACTAGACGACGCACCGTGAATTGTCCAACGTTATTATTATAATTATAATTATCACTCTCAGCTTCACTCACTTCCACCTCCAGATACACTGGGTCCATAACAGTGTAATTATGTCCGGTGCCTCTGGCGTGGAAAATCCGACATTGCTGCTGTGATAATGACTTATGTAACCTCAATTCTGAACAACCTTTTTGCTTACCAGATAGTAACTGATCATGTCTGTATGATATCACTAATTATGTTAAAAGAACTTGAGGATCATAAGAATCAGAGAGGATATTTGTACAGTCCTCTGCATAGATACCTTAATCTAATTTAATTATATATGTTGCTTTCCAGGCTCTATTTCAATGTATGTAGAAACCCTCGTTTCCACCAGTTTATTTTCTATATCAGGGGAATTATAAAAACTATTATAATCCATTGGGAAATATAGTATACGTGTCAAAATACGACATCAAACAATTCAAGTTATGTCCAATTATACTAAAGTCTAAACGAGTCCCCAGTGACCTAAACTTCATTTCCTTGCTTATAGAAAGTGAAGTATTTCTTCTGTACTTTATTTGATGCAATAGAGAAGCGACAAGCGAAATTGCAATAACACACCGTCATAACTCCTTTCTAAGATGAGTTTTGCATTTACCATAATATCGACAGTCACTCAACTGTCGATATTGTGATAAACGCAAAACTTGACATGTTCATATTTGCTACATATTTGAATGTAACATGGCAGAGAGCGATCCTATGGCATACGTGAAAATGCATACGAAAATATTTGTTATCTATTCGAAGACGGTTATGGTGAAGGAAAACTAACGAAAGGAATGCCATAATCCAATTGCAGCAGTCTGAAAAAGCACTAAGTGAGTACTTCATGTCTTACTCGAAGAGTGAATTTTTTTTTTCTTTACCATAGACATAACTGAGAGGCGTCGGCGGAAAAATAAACATAATTCTAACAGACGTCACCAGATAAATTAAAAAAAAGATTCAAGTATGTCTGTATTCAGTCATACCCCACTTGTTGGTGAACCACCAATGATTTCCAGTACTGCGCAGAAATTTTTAACAATATTTTTAATTGTTTTAAATATCAGTAGTTTCGTCAATATTGCGAAATGTTGTTCAAAATTACAACCAAAAAATAAACATTATAAAAATTACTAAAATAATACCATATACAAGAATAAGCCTAAATGTTAGCAGATATTCGGTAACATGTTTGTTAATATGTATAGTTCATTCATTGATAATTTAAGAAGTCGCACTCTTGTCGGTGAAGCTCTTGCCATTTTTTACGATATTTTGTCAATCTCTTTAATTATTAATACGACACGACTCCAACTTTTTCATTAATCTGCTTGATATAGTTATGTCTTGGTCATCCCCTTTCTCTCTTTCCTTCTATTTTTCCTTAGATAATAAGTTCATCGTGTCATATCAAGTGCCCCAACATTTTCCCCAGTAATTCTCAATAATATTTATGATCTGTCTCTTTTCTTTAACCCTTCTTGTGGATAAAATGGGTAGTAACCACTATTAATAGAAAACTAGTCAAAATTTTATCCTTCAAATCAAACTTATGATCATTATGTAAAGCGATAAATTTTAAAAGATATTTAATGAAAAATGTCATTATAAGCTCATTAGTTTTTTCGCTAACTCTTGTTAACTGGGCCAAGCGATAAAGTAACGACGCTCTTAATGAACTCTCGCTGTAAACTGTTCCGGAAGTTCTCAACTAGTTCATGAAAGTTTGGCATTAACATTTCTGGAATATTTTTTTTCATAAATCCCAATGCGGAGATATCGTAAACTAGAAAATCTTTTCAATAGTTCGTGGGAATCTTTTCATTTTCTGTGACGATCATTATAATAATATTTATGGCTTTGTTTATTTGCAATATTTACTGCTTTCTTTTTTTAATTCAATACCAATACAAACGGTATTGGTATTGAACTAAAAAGTCGGCTCTTATCATGAATTATGTAACCGTAAAATAGAAGAGATTTCCTTTATTTTACACATACTACATATAATTTTAAATAATATAAAAGTTTGACGATGTTCTTTCTACTACTCTTCATTGTTTTTAAATTTTTTACTTGAAGTAATTCTTTGAATTTAGTATAGTAAACTCAAGAGCTCAGTTTCTAAGCATTATCGGATAGCATTGAAAGTGAACAGGAAATATAACTTCAGTAAATTGTCCTTATGATGAAGTTAAGAATATATTACCAATTTCTATTATGTTCAAAACTACACGGGCACAAAAGGATATGTTTCATATAATATGATACTCATATACTAACAAACAGTTCAATGATTGGAAGTAAATTTAATAATTACATGTTAGAATACATTCGTATGTTTTCTATGGCTTCTTAGTGGAAGTTAACATATTGGTTGTTAAATAAGAAGCTAAATAAACTGTCTTCTATTAGGTAGTTTTTTAACCAACCAAGCAATTGTATAGCAGTGTAAAATATTTTCTATAAAGTCTCTTACTTCTAAGAATAATTACAAAGTGCCGATGCATAGAAAATGATAACCCTTGATATGAACACCTGTTGTCACATGTATTTTGTGATCTCCGTGATTGTAATCTTATATAAGGACGTCGATTATCACCTACGATGGTAAGTAATAACCGACCCAATCTCATAAGAAGGGAAATCAGCTTGTTTGCTATTTTATCTCTATATCTGGAAGAGATAACTTTTTAACGATAAAGCCGCCCGTTATTACCTCTTTGTCTCATTGATTATTGTGTTTTATTATTATGTGTGTTTATATTTTTATACATAATTATGTTTGTAAGTGTATTTCCTGCGAGAGGAACAATAAAGATTCTCATTCATTTTATTTATACTCGTATAGGAAAAAGGATGAAATAAAGGATGTGTATAATAAGAAAGTAATCTCAGATATGTCGACTTGTAGCTATGAGAGAAAAACGAGAAATTGCCTTTTATATTGTAAAATCTTAAAAAAATTAAGTATTCTATAAAGTATAACTTACCGACCGCAGAGACTCAGACGAACGAAACACCTGTTGATAATTCTTAGTGGGTGGTTGAAATATTGCATCCCTTACATAGTCTTTTGTACTTTTAATAAAGGAGACATTTAAGGCCAAGTATCAGTCTAATAATTATAATTAAAATAATATATGAAGTAAATTATTCATATTTAGACCCGGTTAACAATATAAATAATATACATATAGGAATATTTATGAATCACACGAGACAGAATAGAATGGAAAAGATTACAGAAAATCTTTGATTGGAAGCAAGCAGGCACCAAGATCTATGAGATATAATGTAAACAGAAAAAAAAAAATTAAAATGTTGCGTCTGAATAAAATGCTACATATAAAAAAAGAATATTTATGTATTTATATGTATATACATTCTTATTTTAATTATAGTTAATCTAAGTTATGATTAGGAACCTTCTAAAACTTCTATAAACAATCTCTTAAGAAAAATGTGGGTGTAATGAATGTAAAAGGTTGGAAATCTATTCTATATCTTCAGTTGTAAAAATACATACTTGAAAAAGAAGTAGTATATGTTATCGTATGTTACGCAATACATATGGTTTAGACGCTAATCAACACAGACAATATGTCTATATGTACATATAAGATTAGTACCATATCATAATGATATGTCCTATCTTTATTATATGCTATAATACTAATTTTGACAATGACTAACAGACGAAGGGAAAATTTATCATATTAACTAAAAACAATATTTCAAGTATAGATATAAGTTAGTATACAACCTGAACCGAATGTGAGAAATATTATTTCCCAAATTAGAGCAACGAAAATCACATCCATACCAGGTTAATTATTAACTATTTAATGTATGGACCATTGTACCAACTCGGTCGTTACTTGTAAAGAGTTCGTTTAAAATTTACATTATTTAGACATTATTATTTAATGCATTACTATTTCTACAACTTAATACATACATGTGTAAGTATATGCGTAGTTATGTCATACATAGATACATGTGGTTGCTACTAAACTACTTGCATTAATTATAATCAAAACCTCAAATGACGGTCACCATTGTATATGACTATACGAAAATTTATATATATATATATATATATATAATTCTGTGTCTTTCTACAAGTTCTTATAATATATATTTAAGATATACATATTATATAAATACTAATTCATATTTTTTGTCATCAACCGTCTAACAGCGTTCTCTCCTTAACAAAGAAGCTTATTAAAACAGTCATCTCGAGAGAAATGGCTTTCATAAAACATAAGAAAAAACAGTTCTATTAGCTAAATTGACTGCAGCATACATTAAAAATAAAGCTGAATAATCAAAATTAATTTTTCTAGAATTATACAAGCGGTTACCCGTTGTTTCTGTCACACAAAAATTTTAATAAACGTTACTTTGGAAATATCTAAAAAGTTTGTAATTGTTTTTTTAATAGCGACTACAGATTATTAATCGACATTACATGATATTAATTCTAAATTTCAGACACTTCCAAAAACATTTATGTGAGAGTCTTTATGGATAGTGGTATATAACTATCAACTACACACATATATGTATATATATATATATATATATATATATATATATATATATATATATATATATATATATATATATATATATTCACGTGGCATCTCTCTTGAATTGCAACATCAACATATGCCTTCGTAATTGGAGATAATTTTATTTCTCTGTATTTAAACCATCGTAAGGCAAACTAATATACCTATTCCTATAGGATTGTTTGCTATTTGCAAATTTACATTAATGGGAGCTTGGCAGATGACTGTGCATAAAGTCTACCTCTTGTGTCTAGATACCACTATATCTACCTAGAAATTAGTATTATAAAATGTTGTACATTTTTCTTTATTTAATTAGAAAGGCAAACAAGTATACTAGAGGTTCTGAAACTTTTTTTGCCGTAGACCCCTTGCCATATTTTTCGGTTTTGGATAGACCCCCTATTCTTACCTGGTATTTATTGTTTGTAAATTTCTAACTGTTGTAAATTTTAAAGTAAAAACAACAAGATGACCGCAATCGTAGCCCCTTGCAGTTTATCATAGACCCCTGGGGGTCGATATAAACTACTTTGGGAATCACTGAAGTAGACTGTCCACCAAATTACAACTATGGACGTCACGTTATCAGATGACCACTCATGCGTTGCTATTGCGAAGTTGCTATTGATAAGTGTTAGGAAGTTAGAAGAAAGTAGAAAAGTTAAGAAGCATTGAACAGACCATATTATGAATTTATATCAAAATATATGTAAAAGGTCTAAATCTTTCCAGTCAATATTATCAAAACTAAGACCTTGCACCTCATGCTTTTTAAGAATAAAAAGCATGTAATTTCACTGCCTTATACTATTATGCCTTCAACCAAAACACAGCTTACTAAGCAAGCTGCTTGGCAGTTGAAATAGATAGCTGGATATACTCAAGCAGACAACTTTCAACAAAATCTACCTCAAATCGATTACTTACCTTCGGATGGAATCGGAGACACAAATTTTCCGAAATACTTCCAGTATCTAGTTCTCCATTTCCCCGTAAGAACCCGTAAGTAATCCGCCATTTTCTCGTAACCTTTATGAAACTCAAGCAAATGAATGAACTTTGGGAAGTAATTAGAACAAAACTAATTTTCGAGTCTTCAACATTTGACGGGTCAACAAAGAGTGATGTTTACACCAACTTTCTATTGATGATATTTATGAATGCCGTTTCATTTGTGAAGAGTTTTATTTAAAAGGATAATTACACATTTTCGTATGAATAAACATAATTTAACATTTTCCGGCAAAATATTTTCCTTAGCTGGTTTTTAGTAGTTTATCACAGTAAAAAAAGATTTAATTATTGTTCGCAGTTAACACTGCTTGAGAATATTCAATAATATTTACATACTTTTAATAATTTTGGTAAGTACATGGCGTTGTAATGTAACCTAGTATCATTTAATTAAAATATAATTATTATAATTTGTTAAAAATTAAATACAAAGATTTTAAATAAAATACAAGTCTTGAATTATCTTAGATATGGCTATTAGTATACAACTGTGTTTAAGTTTTAAATTACGTCATTACTGTTGATACAATTTCCGAATATTTTAATTAAAAATAGCAATTGTTTTTTTAAATATGTCATACTAGCTGTGCTCGCGGTTTCAACGGCATTTGTTATTTTGATTTATAAGCTATATTACTGTAAATTTTCATCAAAATTCGTTTAGTAGTTTCTGCATGAAAGAGTAACAAATATCCATCCATACATTCATACTCACAAACTTTCGCGTTTATAATATTAATAATATTTTACCACACGCGTTATCAGTTACTATCAAATAATTATTTATTTAGATATATATAGACAGATATACCTGCATTTGGCACTTATGGAATTTGTTAATTCCTGATTCTATGGAAATTTCCAAAATTCCTTAGCGAATACCTGCGTCTTATAAATGTTATGAAGCCGTGTATAAAATAGGATGTTATCGGCTCAGTTATATATATTACAATAATATTCTTCTGTAATTATATTTAAGTTTATATGATTGAATAAAGTTAGAATCGGAGAGAGGGTTAGAATAAAATATTTTACTAAAGATTATTTTTTTTATATGTAAATATTAAGTGGCAAATTTGCTTTTCTTTTTCAATTTCTTATATATATATAATGTTTTTCTTATATATGTGTGTTTATTATTTTGTTGTGTGTTGAAGTTGAAAATAAATTTCTATCTATTTATTAAATAGGAACGAAGAGATGCCTGATGTTAACAAAAAAAAAATACTCTTAAGAAATCGATCCTGGTTAGGATGAGCGATTTGTTATTTGTTAGATTATTTTCTTGATTTAGACGAATCGTCCATCAAAAATATTTCAGAAATATTTGTATAAAAATTGTATTAGTTAAAAACATGATCATTTATAATGTTTACTACCTTTGTCAATGGTACCTATTTCCAATCTATCACTAAAATAAGAATACAATTTACGTGTTTCAGAGTTCATGTAAGTCAAATAATATGTACAATAAAGCAAATCTTCCAATATTAATGTTCAAGGAGTAACATTTTTCACAATTTTTTTGATGTAATTTATTTACATTTAATCTTCTAACAGGTAGTAGTAGTAAACCATTTAATACGCCATTGATACTAATAAAAAAAAGGAAACAATAAAAGTTTTTTATTAACAAATTAAAATTAAATACATATATTTACAGTGAATAGGGCTTTCTTGTGGCAATGTATGACTTAACGCCGGGGAGTGATCGAATCTTGTTGAGTAGAGCTACAATTGTAGGGTAACCTTTCTCCACTTCCGCGTTAAGGAAAAGATTTGTAGTTTCTACGATGCCAATGAGAATGAAGTCAGCCCAGCTCAACTGTAAAAGTAAAATAATTTCTTATCAGTAATAATTTTGTGTTAAGAAAATTTAGAACAATATAAGAGAGGAAATCTTTAAATTCTATGGATTAACCGTGTCCTTCCAGGTCCATCTTCGTGCTTATCCCGAGAACTTAGAATAGTAGTAGAATAGAATGAATTTTTAAGAAGAAAGAAAGAAAAACATTTATAGACAACCATTATTAATGTACATGCATATATATACATACAAATAATATACATACATATATATGTTTTAAAAGCTACAATGGCAAACAAGTGATGACCCACCAGATGGAAAACGTTATCTGTAGACTTATAAAACACCACTGACATAACATGGAAATAAGAGACGAGATATTAGTATTCCATGGATTCACCGCGTAGGTGCCAGATTCAGGTCTATCATGTGGCAGAGAGAGAAAATTCGTGCATATCCTAAGAATTGTGTCAAAAGTGTAGGATAGAATGAGAAAAACACCACTAAAATAACAAAATATAAATTGGTCCTATTTTTTAGATATTGAGAAAATTAAAAAAATCTTACCTTTCCACCAAAATATCCATTATTAGCTTTAAGTTCCTTTTCAAATCGTGAGAAATAGAATACTACGGTTTCAGTTAAGATTTCTTTTCTTACTGCTTCCTTTGCGGCCGCGTCTTTTTCTCTTATATATTGACCGACCTCTGTAATTTAACAAAATTCATATTACTAGTAGACCATCATTAACTTAAATTATAAGTTTATACATTAATGAGGTTCTATTGTCAAAAACTATACTTCTATGCCTGTGTGTATCAAATACATGGGTATATATCACATACAAATACGTGTGTAATGTTTTTCTATTGATTTATTGTATTTATTATACACAATTAAAAAGTATATTAGTATCCTTCTCTACACAGGTATAAACAATAAATGTACGAAATTTCATACACCTCCGTCCTCACAATTTTCGTAAAAAAAGAGGTGCCAAGATTTTGTTTCTTTCAGTATGTTTGAATGATTACATATACTTACTGCTCCAGAAATCGTAAATGTTGAATACGGCGGCATCCAAAACAGCCTGGTCCCAAGGATCTGATGGCAGGAGATTCGCCTTCACGGCCACATAACGGGCTATAGCCAAGGACTGATTCAGGCTACGGTTACCCTCTTGATACAGTGGTAATTGACCATACGGCAAAGCTGTAAAGTGCAATAGGTATTTAGTGAAATGGTTTTTATGTGATAGTGTAGGTTTTTGTGGTATATAATTTAATACTGTTTTAAGTCTAATTATGTTTGCATATTGCTGTTTTATTTTATTCTAATTTATTAAAACTTTAATGCATAAATACGCAAATAAAGGTGGTCATACCATGTGGCCTTAACACCTTGAGACATTTTCTATCTGTCTACAGTAAGACAAACAGAGAGTATATCTTGTGGGCAGTAGATTAAAAAAAAAGTTAAAAACACTAAACATCTATTCTATTAAATACTAATAATAAGTACATAATATATTACTTTATGCATATAATTAAACTACTTTAACATTATATATTTTAATAATTAAATATAATCATACATTTACAATAATATAATTCATAGTTAATTTAAAATAGTCATAAGTTTTCTTATCGTTAATCTGTTTATGAAACTAAATAAAAAATATATATATTTGTATGTGTTATAGCAGTCGTGTTATATTATATTTTTAATCATCACAACCAAACGGCCGAATGTTCATAAAATTTAAGTCAAATTCGAGTAGAATTATCACGAGGACTGACATTATCTCAAAAGCAGACCAAATCGGGTGAAAAGTTAGTTTTATAATTTATTACATCCTAATATGGTTAATCCGTCCATACTAATAGTAATATTTGAAATCGTATAAAATAGACTGTATCACGAGAACTGACATCGGCATCTTTTACCACAGAAAAAAGGTAAAGATATTCGCGTTTCGTTTTGCGGGTTGCAACTAGTATTATAATTATAATTGTTTAACATGAAGTTACCGGTAGCATAAAATAATAATACTGGTAGTTGGTAGGTATAAATGACTACTTACAATCTTTCACACTCTGAATAGGCCAACTGCTCCTATCATATCGGACGTCTTCGAATTTTTCACCGGAATAATATAAAATGTACCTTATAGATTCACCCAAACCGTTCAAATCGAAATACTGTAATTTCTTTGCCATATTGTCAATGTTGCGATCAGAATGTATATGCCAGTATAGTACCAAGAATGTATCTTTATATAGACTTATCTTGTTTGTATGCACAAGTAACGATATCATGTTTATCGTGTCATTGTGTAATATTTGGGACCATCCGCGAAGATGATAAGGTTCGTTATCGGGTGGCATGACTGACCATATTTTTATATTAATTTTATGAAAACATGGTATGTTGAATGTAGCTTAATTTTTTCGATTAATTTATGGTGGCTATTTGTGTGGTGACGCAATTAGAACACAATGTACCTACATACTGTACACTGAATACAAGCGACTAGGGGAAAATATTAAAAACTAACTTACCCGCGCAACTTCGTCTGCATCACACTTACTTGATATTTAGGGTTATATTTCGGCCAATTTACATATATCTTTATAAATTATAGCCTATGATATATAAGCTATATTGCTGTAAAGTTTCATCAAAATCTGTTCAGTAGTATTTGCGTGAAAGAGTAACAAACGTCCTTCCATCCATCCACAGTCACAAACTTTAAGAAATAATACTGGTATGATATAGTTGGATATATTCAATTTTTTTTTAATTTTTCCCTTTGCTGGTAAAAGCAAAGACCCCACTTTATACGGTCATTGTGCCTGTGGTGATTGACAATGATTTCAACTAAAAAGAACTAACAACTTACACATTAAAAAAGAAACTTTATATAGCATAGCTGTAAGTTTAAAGTTAGTATGAAAATATTAAGAAACATATGTTATAACGTCAATCTACATATACAAAACTATTTAATCAGCTCCACAATCCTGAACTAACATTGAGGACTGATCTGCTCGAGTTATTATTGTCAATTAAATTGTGCTATAGAGCAGCATGTATATGTATAAAATAATAAAAGACTTTCAACCTATTTGTTTATTAACCACTCTTCATATCTCTGCATTGTATATTATTACTAATAAAAACCTGGGTCACATAATGCGGAATGAAAAATACAGTCTTCTGCAATTAATAATACAAGGAAAAATCCAAAGTTGCCGAAGGCAATGGTTTGGGTTGAGCACCAGGTCCCTTTTCAGGACCGCCGCGGACAAAATAAAGATCGCCATAATGATCGCCAACCTCCGATAGGAGATGGCACCTAAAGAAGAAGAAGAACTAATGAAAAACGATTACTTACATAAAAACATTATTATGTTTGGAGAATCTAACCAGAAATAGACTGTAAAGAGGTGCTGCTTGTCTGATTGCAGACCGGTCTGTTCTGATAAAAATAACTGATTTATTTTGTTACTCAAATAACTAATTATTATTTATGTCAACTTTGCTATTTGGCAGTTTGTATTCCCACTAAAATTCTTAAAAATGTAATTCTATGTGTGATTCTTCTTGTGATGACACTGCATTCCGAATGAGTGGTAGAATAAATAATTTATACTATTCAAAAGTGCTTACATACAGATTATTTGAATAAAGATTATTTCTATTTTTTTCTATTCTGCGTGGGTACCTCAGTCTTACATATTTCAGTCACGAAGCAACTTGCTTACCATCAGGATGCCCGTCAATTTGTTTTCATTCCAATACAACGAAAAAAAATGGACAACTTTAGATGAACAATGTACTTTTTACTTGAGCGTAAAAATAATAGCATTAGTGCAGCAATAGTGAAGAGAAAATTAACATAGTTCACTTCCAAGTTATACCATATTAATTTCGATTTTAAAATGAAATGAAATTTATTTTATTTGCACAAATCAGTTAGATGATGATAATATGCCCAGGTAATAATGATGAATAAATTAATGACATCTCTTTTGGCGGAACATTATTTAAATCTTTCTTTCATTAAAAAGCAAACGAGCATGATGTATCATAAAGGCATATCAGTATGGCGTCACCGTGAACTTGACCTGATAATGAACAAACATTTGTATATTATACATAGCAAATTTCATATTACATTCTCATCCTAAATATTGAACATTATTATTCGTAAAATATAACCTATTATGTGAGACATAAAACTCTTTATTGCCGTTGCCTGGCACCGAGATGGGAATTTTAATGGTGTACCTAATTCTATTGTTGTCTAATTAATGAGGAATTTTATCGATCACGCACCTATTTAACCTCTTAGATAATAAAATAAGATAAATGGCCACTTCATTATAATGTACTTTATGTAATGAATTATTATACCCATAAAAAATTTGGCTACTAATCTGACAGGTTGTTTTTTATACTACGATGGTGGTAAACAAGCTTACATCCCATCTGATGGTAAATGATTATCGTAGCCAAGGAACGCCTGAGACACCAGGGGTGTCACGTCCGCGTTGACTAAACTTAAGTAACCTTAAAATACCCTTCTTGAAAAACCCTATGCTGTAGTCTCGTAAGAAAACCTCAGTAGGTATAGTAGTTTATTCCACAATCTAAGTGTACGCGGGAGAAATATCTCCTCTGAAACCGCACTGCCCGAGACCACTTCGGTTCTAGTGCGTGCGGATGAATTCCTTATCGATGGCCAGCATATAAGTAAGTGGTAACTCATTTCCTTCCTAATAATAGAACATCTTATAAGATACAAATAGTTTTTCTGATTAAATAAAGCCAATTCAGTGTAGGTACTAATTTGTTCATACCGAAATAACGTAATAAGCATAGCATTAGCACCAACGCCGTATAAAGAAAGCATTCGTCAAAGTATGTTATAAGGTTTGTATCCTTTACGAGCAATAAATTCATGCAGACAACAATGACCGTTCGAGATTAGCGTAAAATCAAATATTTAATTTAGATTAACTTTCGAATCTCGGATTACATGCAGTTTTCGATCAGTGGATTTTTTTTAAATGAATTATTTACGAAGGATTGGTAATCCTATTCGTGTGACAGACATGAAAAAAAGTGGTATGTTGTTTAGACGGTAGAAATAATTAAAGGAAGAGATTCCATCTAGATAATATACAGATATATACTTATAAATATCGCTCTTAAAATATATATATATATGTACTATAATAACGTATCTTTCGACCATTGCACTACAAGTGATATTATCAAATGCGAAATTTACTACCAATTCATTATGTAGCTTTTGCAGTAGGTATATAGAAAAATGTTTAGTATAAAAAAGTTAGTCTGCGGACTATATTACCTCCTAATTACCCTTTCCTCTATATTACCACTTATATGTATAAATAGAGATCAAAGAAATAAGCAATACTACATAACGCCGAATTTAAGAATTTATTATGTAAAACAAAACAGTAGTTACAAACAAAGATATAAATATACTTGCAATATTTTCTTATCATATAAATTGAGATAATAATATAGTCAATATGAAATATAATCTATCTCCACCTGTAAATGCCGACAATTTTGTACAAAATCACCCTCTTGTAAAATCCTCTTAGCAATATGTACACTAATCTTTGTGTGAACACCTACCGGTGCAATATGTTCCAATAAATAAACAAGTAAGTATTAGTTGCACACATAAACTGTTGGTTCTAACAACTTTCTTCGAACTAGAGCGTTACTCGGCGCAATAATAAAGTGTTTCCTTAGGCGCAACAAACTACAGCACCGTAAATTACTAGGGTTTCTGTGTTGTCGCCGCAAGTTTACGTGTGGTGCCACTGTACGCGGGTCCAAAGTTATATGCTGCGGTTAGAACTTATGCTCAAGGTAATAAAGTTGAAGTTTATGTGAATTTAGTTTATTGAATCTGTTCTAGTTTGTTTATGTTTAGCAAGCGTAAGACCTTCCTAGTATTATAAACTATGCGTGTTTGCGGTTTTATACCTCACCTCTGATTCTATTTGGAATACTTTGGCAAAATATGTCAGAGCTCGTATCCAACTAAATAAATTTGTAAAACGTAAAACCTCTGGTAATCATATTTCGGGTATTTTAAGAATGATACCGAAGTAATACAATACTAGTTTAAATATTTAAAGATACTCAATCCTATACGTATGCAAATGAATTCCGTTGTTTTTTTGCGCATTTATTATATACTGATGTTTTTGAGAATCTTAAACCTTAAGGTCAACGTGATCTTTCGAAGTATACAGAAATGTTGTTTTTTAAATTATAAAAAACTACCTTACTGACATTTAAAGATAGTCATCTGTTGATCTTAATTTAACCCAGTTTCCGCTCAATAAAGTAATGGAAATTCGTTTTGCGGTATTTGTTTATATATTTCTTATTACATTAAAAAAAGTCTCTTATAGTGTTTAAATTATCATTAATATAATTTATATATTTTCTTCGTAAATAAATTATGAAAGGATTTAATTAATCGTCCGCTGCGACTCGATCCACACATATAAGTACTCTTTTCAACCGCAACCCTTAAGTGGTACAGCAGTAAAGGATCCTGTTTATATGGCCGCTGGTTTCCTAGTATTCCGGGTACGTATCTAACACGGTTTCTAAGTAATTGCTACGAAATACTGACCCAACACCTGTGGACCTCCACGTGTAATATGAACGTTTAATTAGATTCATTTTTCATGTTAAAAGATTTCGAACGCAGGTAGAATCTGTAAAAAGTCGTCAAGCAGATTGTTTCATTGTGTTTCGGTTCAAAACTTAATTAAGGCATTTCAGGTGATTATTCGAGTGTCTATATGTTTGTTGTTGTTATATTTTCACGACTAAGCTACTGAAAGATGTTAAATAAAACAATAGCAATTTATAATGATAATAATTCATATAAGATAAAGAAAAACACATAACTGTATAAGACTATACCTTTGTGTGCAAACAATATTATGTTTTTGTTATGATTTATGACTTGGTCACTAGTTAGTTCATTGTAAAATAATTAATACCTAATAAAGTAATAAGAATTCGGATATCATTTGTATATTAAAATAAAAACATGTAAGATTCATTTCAAATAAATCTTATTGAAAGACGTGTAGATATATTGCATTACTTGGACGGACATAAGATATCTTTTATCTAAATAAAAGCAGTCGAA